GGATCCAAATTCGCCTGGGCTTGGGCTCCCGTAACATGGGAGCTGCTCCTTGCAGGCGGGGCATGGGGCTGGGGAGAGCTCAGTCAGCCGGCTAACTGGTCTATGCAGCGAGCAGTAAGTGTGTGTGGGGGGGGCAGGGATCAAAAGCCAAAGGTCACCTGGCAGGCAGGTAGGAGCTGTCAGACGGATGAGCAGGCAAGGCAAATGGGGATCGCTGTGTGCCCAGCTTGTTTCCCCACTTGTTCCTGAGAAGCAGCAGCTGATAGCATGGGGTGATGTCCTGGAGTCTATGGAGCTGTGGGGAGAACAGGCCTCTGAGGGTCAGAGGGGCACAGGGACTAGCCATGTACCTGGCCTGATTTGCTAGGCCTTCTGCCTGCCTATAAGCCCTTCTGAGAAGTTCTTTCTCCCTACTGCCGCCAGCCCCTTGGTTAATCCCCACCCCCCTCTCGGAATCCAATTGGCCTCCAGCCCCATTTCCTCTGGGCCTCCAACCCCCTCTGCACTCAGGTCTGTCTGTTCCTACCCTGATTTCTGTTTGCTTTTGGGTTTGCAGGGACTCGGCGGTGGACATGGGAAGAGCTTTGACGCACACTCTGGTACTGTCCATGGTGCTGGGCTGTTCAGCTGTCCTAATGGATCTCCTGCTGTCGAGCCCGGAGGAGCCAGTGGTAAATGTGGCTGTGGTCTTCGGGGGCTCCTCGTACCCTCTGCACATCCGCAGCCGGCTCACTCATCAGAGCTTCCTGGACCTGCCTCTGGAGATCCACCCGGTCACGGTGATTGTGAACGACACCAACCCCAGCACCCTCTTGACCCAGATCTGCAACATCCTCACCAGCACCAAGCTCCACGGCATTGTCTTTGAGGACAACATCGGCACAGAGGCCGTGGCCCAGATCCTGGACTTCATATCCTCCCAGACGCAGGTCCCCATCATCAGTATCAGCGGGGGCTCTGCCGTGGTCCTGACTCCTAAGGTGAAATCTCTTGGTTAGTTATTTCTGGAGATGGTGAGCGGGGAGACCAGGGGACTCATGAAATCCTCTAACTATATGGGCCTGAATCCCCAGCTAGTGTAAATCAGCACAACTCCACACAAGATAACCAAGCTGCGTCAGCTGGGAAACCGGCTCATAATGTGCACAAATACATTTCCAATCCCTTCATTCGCATTCGCTACCATGTTGTCTAATGTGCCTGCCATGCTCAATAGGCAAGACGCTGTGTTCTTAACAATCTGGTGATGGGAGGGGGGGGCTCTTTGCTGGGGATGTTGTGAAGGCCAAGACTATAACAGGGTTCAACAAGTACTAGATCAGTTTATGGAGGCCAGGCTGTTAACCAGGGTGGGCATGGATGGTGTCCCTAGACTCAGTTATCTGATGCTGGGAGTGGGTGACGGGATGGGTCACTTGGTGATCACTTGTTCTACTCGTTCCCTCTGGGGCACCTGGCATTGGCCACTGTGGGAAGACAGAACACTGGGCTTGACGGAGCTTTGGTCTGACTCAGTCTGGCTGTTCTTATGTATTTTAAGACAGGGAATGCAGACCAGGGTTTGAATGCCTGGGCGAGCAAGAGAGCGTCATGGTGAATGCAAGAGAAGATCTATTCCTATTGGTGATTCTCCACTGCAGACAGTGTGCTCTGTGAGCTAGCTGCTCTTTAGACTGTCAGAAAAAATGGTCCCAGCTCCAGTTAGCTCCCAGTCTAGGGAATAAGCATCTATGTCAAATGCCATTGTTCAGTTAACTCACTGTCCAACCCCTCCTTTGAGTGCCACTTCCCCCCCGACAGCTGTAAACGTCCCTGCTTTCTCTTGGGTTTGCACGGGAGCTCCGTTCCCTGAGTCCAGCTCTTCATCTTCAAACCAGAACGCCTGCTGGGAAGTGACAATTGCCCGGGGACACCAGCCTCGCTGCGGTGGAGACTGTGAGGATGTTGTGGGGGTCTGTTAAACCCAGTTCTGAGAACTCCTTTAAAATACAGAGACACGCACGTGCTCCTTCAGTACGGGGCTGCCCCTCGGAATGGAACGCACGCAGTGCAGGGCCAGCAAGGCCAGCGTGGAGCCTGGTGATAGCTCCTCTGCTCAACATGGGAAAGTCAGGGCCACCCCTTCTGACGCTGAGTGAGGGACTCCACTGAACTAGCACAGATTTCCTTTGGGACACTGGTGTCCCTAGACTCAGTTATCTGATGCTGGGAATGGGTGACCGGGGATGGATCATTTGATCACCTGTTCTGTTCATTCCCTCAGGGGCACCTTCCGTGGGGTTCTGTGTAGATCACGACACCCTCTTGGCCTGGGTTAAATGTGGGAACGTCAGCACCACAGCATGAAGCTCCCTCGACTGAACTGAAGGAGTAACTCAGTTAGCTGGCAGCAGTAATAGGCTGGTATCCTCTGTGGGTATGTTGTATCCTCACTGCTGCTGGGCAGTGTAATTCCCTGCTCAGGTAGGGGTAAACACGGTAGCTCTGCCTGAGCACAATTCTACCCCTCTAGGCATGCCCCGGGTGACTAGCCTGAGTCACCACGTAGTTGGGGCAGCCGCACGGCTACTTCTAACATTGGTGCAAGTGAGTGGGTCTCCACCTGCCTGGGCACCACAGGCCCAGCAGAGGTGTAGACCAGGGATGGGCAATAATTTTTGATGGGGACCATCCAAAGATTTTGGTAAGTGGCCAAGGGCTGCACTTTTCTGGGGAGGGGCGAGGGTCTGGGATGGAGGTTGGGTGCACAAGGTAGAGACTGGGGTGCAGGAGAAGGTGTGGGGTATGAGCGGGAGTCTGGGGACAGGATTCCAGGAGGAGAGATGGGCACAGGAGAGGATTCTGGCCTGGGGAGAGGTATGGGGGGGCAGGGTCTAGGAGGGAGGAGGTTGCAGAGGGTTTGGGTGGTGACCTGTGGCAGCGAGTTGGCGTGTGGAGGGGCTGGAATGCCAGAGGCAGGTTCTGACTGGGAGGGGCTTACCTAGGTGCCTCCCGGCCAGCAGCCCTGTGAGGCAGGCTCCTTGTGTGCCAAAGTCCCAGGCTGCTCAGAACGGTTGGCTGTTCCATGTGGCTCTCTGCTCCAAGTGCTGGGGGGGTGGGGAGGCTGTGCGCTGCTGCAACCCTCCCCCAGCACAATCCCTCAGCTCCTATTGACCAGTTTCAATCCAATAGAAGCTGAGGAATTGTTCCAGGGCCGGCTCACAACATTTTGGCACCCGAGGCGGGGAGCTCAAATAACGTTCCCATACCCCCTCACTTGGGCCAAAACTTTGAAAGGTCTCTTGAGCCCTCCTTCCTCCAGCATTGCTCTCCACCATCTCTGTGCATCTAGAGCAGAGAGGATACATATGCACCCGCAGCAGACACAGTTTTCTACACTCTGGTTTCCAGTGGTGTCCCCTCCGTGTCTGGCACCTGAGGCAGCCGCCTCAGTTTGCCTCATGATAGGGCTGGTCCTGGATTGTTCTGGAGGTGGGGGCGGAGTGTAAAGCCTCCCCTACCTCCCCCAGTGCCCGGAGACGAGAGCCACAGGGTGCAGCCAGCTGCTTAACACACCATGGGGCTGCTCTGTGCCCGAGGGTCCCGGCGGGGCAGCTCGTGGGCCTGATGCAGTGACTCGGCTGGCTGGATTCAACCCACAGACCGTATCTTGCTTGCCCTGATGTAGACTCATGTGATGTGAAGAGGGATACACGTGTGACATGCCATGGGGGGGGGGGAATGCACTGAGAAGGCTGGGTTCACTGGAGGGGGAGGAGGAGAGCTGGGGGGAGGGACCTGAGGCTCTGAGTGACAAACCAATTGTAGGAGGCAGGAAACGGAAGGTGCTGAGTAGAGCTGCATGAAAACAAGGCCATCCCTTGCCCCTGCTGGATCTCTGCATCTTGGGAGCCAGGGAGGGCAGGACAGGCCCAGGCCCTGGTCCCTGAAGCTCTCCTGCCAAGATCCTGGTCCTGGCAGGTGCTGAGCTTGCCCTGCTGGCTCCAAGGGGAGTGAAAGGTGCAGGATGGGGTCCTAAGTCACCCCTGTCAACACCATGGCTCCCAAGACGGACGGTGTCCCCAGCAGCCCCACTGGGATTCAGCTTGGGCTGGGGAGGATGGAATCCAGCTCCATGTTTATCTCAGTCAGTGGCGGTTGTGTCTTAACTCACCAGCCAGGCCGCCTGGATGTGCGTTGCCTGGGCTGCTGCAGGGCGCTCTGGTTTCTTACAGGTGTACGGCATGCTGGGTAATTATTTTTAGCTTGGTTGCCCGTCACTGGGTGTCAGACGCGGTTACTGTCACCTGCTCGCAGGGAAACAGGTGACGATTTCCCTGAGCCGCGTGCCTTCCTTGCGGACGTTTGATGCCAGGTTCTCACGGGCGGTTTATGTAATCGGCAAATCGTTACAATCCAACAACCCCTCCTCCCCCCCGGCCATGTCTCCTTGAAGGGCTGGGAGAGGAGGAAGAGCTTGAGGAGAGACTGTGCCCACATGATGCTTCGTGGGCAGCACAGTCCATTATGGGCACTAGCCTGGCTTGCCCAGCCGCCCTTCCTGAAAGCAAAATCTGGAGCCTCTGCCCCAGCTCCAGTCAGGTTGGTGTTAACATGCCCTGCTCTGTCTGGGAGGATCCGCAAGCCAGCTCGGGAGAGACAGCAATGAGCTGCCAGGATCCCTGCCCAGAAGAATTGGTGCTATAATGCAGGACCTTAGAAGCAGGGAATAGATTTGGGGGCTGGCTAGGGTATGTAGGAAGAATGCCCCCCCTTCCGGTACAATTTTTATGGGGCGATCCCAGCGAGTTAGCAGTGTTGTTATTTGGGGCAAAAGACACCCCAGCCCAGCTCTCAGCACTGGCTCTGTGACTCCCGCAGTCAGGGCCTGGGGTGCCGCAGAGGGAGGGGGGCAGCTAGGTCCCCTCGCTGGACCCTACTGACACTGGGTTTTAAGGAGCTGCGCTGACGATATGAATGGAGTCCCATCGAATCCTCTCCATTGGGATTTGATTTCCAACCCTTCCCTGGCCCTGCTCCAAACTGCCGCCTGTACCTTCTCTCTAATGACCTCTGTCCCCCCGCTCCTCTTAGCACCCGCCTCTCTGCTCCGCTGCATGCAATCCGGCTGCTCTTGGTGCAATAGTCTCCTTCAATGGTCCTTCTGTGTCAAGCAGTCTCCTTGCATTGCTCTGCCTTGTCTGATTGCCGACTGATTTCACAAATCCTTTCTCTGCCGGCTGCACCTCTTAGCCCACCTCTGCTCATGTTTATCAGACCCCTAGAGCTCTGGAAAGCAGGTTGGGATGCAGCTGGTGTGAAATTCTTCTCCGTGAAACCTGGGTCCTGATCCTGCTAGTTCTTCGCAGGAGGACTTCTTGTTGACTTCAGTCGGAGTTCTGGGCACAGAGAGTAGGCAGGATTTGCCCCTAGAAATGCATTGTGGTAAGTGGGATACAGATCACGGCAGCCGGGTCTGGAGCTGTTCTAAACCTTCATGTGTTTTGTTCAGCTGTTTGGAATCTCCAAGAGCTTGTTGAGCTTGATGTTCCAAAGGGCCTTTGCCCATTTTGCATTTCTGTGGGTGCAGATTTGTACCTGCAAATTATACTGCCTGAAATTTTGCACCTGGGGCCAAGTGATTGTTTGGATGTGTGGCTTTGTGTTATGTAACTTGCACCTGCAGTTAACTGTAGTGCAAACTTGTGCCTACAGTATCAGCAGTTGTTGAATTCGATAGGCAGAGCCCTGCAAATCCACGAATATCCACAGGTATCCGCATCCACATCCGTGGCCATGGATATCCACAGCTCATTTTTATAGGCATGGATGTGGATACAAATGTTGTACCCTGATCCCTGCAAATTTGAAGATATCTGCTTTATATCTGTGGGTATCTATAGATGTCAACACAGATATCCGCAGCTCATTTGTGCAACTATAGATGCGGATACAGATTTTGTATCTGCGCAGGGCTCTATCGATAGGACTGTTATAGTAAGGTACTACTTGCAGCTTAGGGTATGAGAATCAAGCTCCCAATGTTTACAGGTAGGCCTTGAATTTGCTGTGCTCTGTACACTGGGAGATCAGCACTTTCTCTGCTGCTTCCCCTCTCCTCCCAGCAGATTCCCTTGATATTTTACAGAGGGTTTAATACCTGCCGCAGTTCTCGCTCGTTTGCAGGGCGGTCCTCCATTTCCTCCTTAGAGCTGTGTCTCTCAAACTCCTCCACAGGAGACGTCTCAAATCCAGAATAATCTCCCACAAAACAATGTATCTTCCTGACAACTCTGAGTTCATCTGTGGATTGATCTACTGGGGGACTGATCAGCATTGCCCTGGGAAAACCATACGGGGGAAATTATGGCAGTTTGCATGAAAAAATCCCGCAGCCTTCTCTGTGACCTTTTGTAAATTTCATTTTGAAATCATTGATCATGGGATCAATTAAGACTTGCCAGTGAGAGGGACAGCTGGTTGGAATGGTGTGGCAGGGAGAGAGCTGACCAATAAGCTCCTTGAGATGGTGAGGTGGGTATCAGGCAGCTGTAAGTGAAGTTTAACCCCCTTAGCCCATCAGGCAGATTTTTTTTTACTTAAAAGTTTATTTTTTTTCATAATTGCAAAGGAAAACGTCGGTCTCTCTCTTTTTGAAGTTGCAGAAAAATTAAATTGCGGATAAATTTTGATCAAAGGAAGAGTTCATCACAGAAATTAGGAACCAAAAAGGTCATTTCGCCCATTCCTCTCAGATGGGATAAAGCATCAGTGACCATATTATAGGGAGGAATCCAAAACTGGCTTATTTTATATATCCCAAGCAATGGGGTTTCCACACATCTTGGCCCTGCCGAGATGATCTCTTCAGATTAGCAAAGTGAAATACTTATGCGATCATAAGTAAAAAGTAAGGTTTTGGAAGGGGCAAGCCAGGAAATAGAGGGCTGGAAATGGAAGAGCTCAGAATGTACGAGTGAAGAATGAAAAGGATTTGGGAGCTGGAAATCTGAAAGTCTGAGCTCCCTGATCCCATGGTTGGCTTGGGTACTCGGCATCCAGACTCAGGAGAGGAGATGAGTGATAAGGCATGAAAGAGATGATCTCGGGGCCAGGTACATAAGGACTGGGCGGAGCAGGGGTGGGATAAGACCCAAACTGTCCTTTATGAGGTCCTCCCTTGCTTGGCAAAAAGAAGCAATTTGAAGACCCACTGAGATCTGGGGCTGGGGCAGAGAGAGGACGGGGAGTGGGAAAGGATAGAGGAAAGGAGTGTTTGATGCTGGACTACAAAGAGCAACAACAATTCTCTTTGGAATGTAAGTAGCACTTCCACAAATGTTCATTCATTCATCCTCTTAGCAGCCTTTGGAAGCTACGTAGCTGGGGGTTACCCCAATTTTTCATCCTGTGAGTGGGGGAGAATTGAGACACTTCATAGAGAGGTAATTTACCTGAGGTCAGGTGGGGCCAGACCCTGGTTTCCTGGCTCTCATAGCCCTGAACTTTGAGCAGTCGTAGGGCTGGGATTCTGATTGGTGGTGACCTCTCCAGCTTGTGAAGGTTTCTAAGGGCATGTCTAAACTACATCCCTCTTTCGAAATACCCGTTTTCGAAAGAATGCGCGGCTGCCATTATGCAAATGAAGTGCAGGAAATTCAAATCCCGGCTTCATTTGCAATTTCGATCTGTCTAATTTACATCCCTCTTTCGAAAGTGAAACCGCCATCCAGATGCGGTTCTTTCGGGAAGAAACCCTTTTTCGAAAAATCCTGTACGCCTCAAAAAATGAAGATTACAGAATCTTTTAAAAAAAGGGGTGTTTTTTTTTAAAGAACTGCGTCTAGACGGCGGTTTCACTTTCGAAATACTGTTTTTGAAAACTGCGCGGCTACCATTATGCAAATGAACTGCGGGAAATTCAAATCCCGGCTTCATTTGCAATTTCGATCTGTCTAATTTACATCCCTCTTTTGAAAGAGGGGTGTAGTCTAGACATAGCCTAAGAGAGGAAAGGGGAGGAGATGGGCATCATGGGGCTCTTTGCACTTGGCCAGTTCCTAATCCATTGTCTTCTCCGTGGCGGGTGGTTCTGTCTTCCAGGAGACTGGCTCTGCCTTCCTGCAGCTGGGAGTCTCCCTGGAGCAGCAGATCCAGGTGATCTTCAAAATCCTGGAGGAATATGACTGGGGCTCCTTCGCAGTCATCACCAGCTTGTACCCAGGCTACAACATCTTCGTGGACGTTATCCGGTCCTTCACGGACGCCAGCTATTTCGGCTGGGAGCTCCAGGATGTCCTGACCTTTGAGATGACCCAGGATGGGAGTAACTCCAAAACCCAACGGCTGTTACGGCAAATCGATGCCCAGGTGATGATTGTGTACTGCTCGCGGGAGGAGGCTGTGTACCTCTTCCAGGTGGCGGAGCAGGCAGGCTTGGTCGGGCCCGGCTACATTTGGATTGTGCCTAGCCTGACGGTGGGGAACATGGAGCTCCCGCCTGTCTCCTTCCCCATCGGCCTCATCAGCGTGGTGACGGAGAGCTGGAAGATGAGCCTGAGGCAGAAGGTTCGGGATGGTGTGGCCATCATCGCCATGGGGGCTGAGAGCTACTTCAAGACCTATGGGAACCTCCCAGAGGTGGGCAAGGACTGTAAGACGCCTCCTAGCACCGCCACCAACAACACGTTCTACAGGTCAGCATCCGAACGCTGCTGCTGAGTAGCTGCCAGCAGGACTTGGTCGTTTGCATGGTGGGGATCAGGTCAGGAGGGGATAAAGCTCTCAGAGAGAGGCCCGGAGGCACCCTCCCTTGGACAGGGGTGGGTTGGCAGTATCCACTCGGAGAGACTGGACTCCCCCGTTGATGAAGTCGCCCCTTGATCTCCTGAAGGGGGGGGGACACCATGAGAGAGTGAGGACACATAAACTGATCAGCTTACTCATAGACTCATATACTAATAGACTTTAAGGCCAGAATGGACCATTATGATCATCTAGTCTGACCCCCTGCACAGTGCAGGCCACAGAATCTCACCCACCCCTCTTAGAATAATCCTCTCACTTATATCTCAGATATTGAAGCCTTCAAATACTTTGAAGGCCCCAAGATGCAGAGAGTCCTCCAGCTGTGATCTGTGCCCCATGCTACAGAGGAAGGCGAAAAACCTCCAGGGTCTCTGCCAATCTACCCTGGAGGAAAATTCCTTCCTGACCCCAAATATGGCGATCAGCTAAACCCTGAGCACATGGGCAAGACTCACCAGCCAGAGACCCAGAAAGTTCTCTATAGTAACTCCTGTCATACCTCCATTGACCTATAATGAGTGGTCAATTAGTTACCAAGATCATGTTATTTCATCAAACCATCCCCTTATCATAGAATCATAGAACTGGAAGAGACCCCAGAAGGTCGTCAAGTCCAGCCCCCCACTCTAGGCAGGACCAATCCCAGCTAAATCAACCCGGCCAGGGCTTTGTCAAGCCGAGACTTAAATACCTCTAGGGATGGAGACTCCACTACTTCCCTAGGTAACCCATTCCAGTGCTTCACCACCCTCCTAGTGAAATAGTTTTTCCTAATATCCAACCTGGACCTCTCCCACCACAACTTGAGACCATTGCTCCTTGTTCTGCCATCTGTCACTACTGAGAACAGCCTCTCTCCATCCTCTTTGGAACCTCCCTTCAAGAAGCTTAAGGCTGCTATCAAATCCCCCCTCACTCTTTTCTTCTGCAGACTAAACAGACCCAAGTCCCTCAGTCTCTCCTCGTAGGTCATATGCTCCAGCCCTCTCTTGGTGAGCTCCTCTTGGGAGGTAGTGGGGCACCTCCCATTAAGCTCTGAGCTGTTGGGAATGCCCTCTCCTGGGGTGGGAGAACTCTGCCCCCTCCATCTTTCAAACCTGGGAACTGTCTCGGGCAGTGGTTCTTAAAGTGTGATCCACAGACCGCTGGCGGGCCGTGACTGTCTTGCAGGTGGGCTGCGGGCTTGGGGTTTGCCGAGCCCCCCGCAGCAGGGAGCCTGCGCCGGTGCTCCAGCCCTGAAGACCACACGCCCCCTGCAAGGTTGGAGCACCAGCTTCCCACTGCGGGAGGGTTGGGGGGGCCTTGTGAGCCGGATCAGGCTTGCGGGGGAAGGTAGCGGCACCGCACGGAATCACGGCCAATGGGAGAAGCAGAGGGTGGTGCCTGGGAGCGGCAGGGGGTGCCGAACCAGGAAAGTGGTAGAGATGTAGCCGTGTTAGTCTGGGGTAGCTGAAGCAAAATGCAGGACAATGTAGCACTTTAAAGACTAACAAGATGGTTTATTAGGTGATGAGCTTTTATGGGCCAGACCCACTTCCTCAGATCAATTTCTTCCACTATTTGATCTGAGGAAGTGGGTCTGGCCCACGAAAGCTCATCACCTAATAAACCATCTTGTTAGTCTTCAAAGTGCTACATAGTCCTGTTTTTTGTTTCAGCTGCACCAGACTAACATGGCTGCATCTCTATCACTATCCTTTTTTAGGGAGTGACACGCAGCCTGTTGCCTTGTGTGGTGTGCTACCTGCTTATCTGGGCTGGTGCAGACAGGCTTGTAGAAGAAGCCAAATTGACGGGTTAAAAGTAGGGATGTAACCGGTTAACTGGTAGATATCATCGAGCGGGGGACACTCCAGTCTGACTGGGCCCCCTGCCTGTGAGATTCTGGCTAAACGGTTCACTGGATAAACATAGCACTTGACCGGTTAACTGATTACATGGGTTTTTGCATCCCTAGTTAAAAGGCGTCCGTTCCTTTGCGCTTACGTGGCTGAGTTTGTCTAGCCAATATGAACTGATCATTTTTGGGTCCGTTCATTTTTTTTAAATTGTATCCTTTGGTATATATGTTTGTGACTGTTTTCTTCCATTATTTGATCTGAGGAAGTGGGTCTGGCCCACGAAAGCTCATCATCTAATGAACCAGGAAAGTGATCCCCAAACCCTTATGCCCAGACCACACACCCCCACCCCTCTCCTGCACCCTCCCTCCCACACTCCCTGCCTCAGCCCACTCCTGTGCCCTACTTCCTGGCCAGGCCCGCACCCCCATGCCCTCCCAGTTTGTCCTCATGGGTGATTGGCGGGTGGTCTGCAGGAAGGTCTGCATTGAGCGGGGTGGGCTGCAGGTCTATAAGTTTGAGAACCACTGGTCTAGGGTCACCTACAAGGTCAGGGCCAGGAAGAGAGTCCAGGTGTCTAGACTCCATGGCCGGTGACTTAGCCCATGTGTCCCACTGCCAGAGAGACCTTAACAGGGTGGGTATAGAGCAGGGGTGGGCGAAAGGGCCTCTGCAGGTGGATCTGGCCTGCCAAGCCGGTTTATCCGGCCCATGGACACCCTGCCGCTCCCCCAACCCCAGGCCAGTCAGATCCTAGGGATGGGGGACCGTGTGAAGTCTCCTCCCCCGCCAGAGGCATGTGGCACTTAGAGTCAACGCGCACCCCTTGCAGTGCAGGGCCAGGGAGCGAGAGACTTGGCACAATTCCCCTTCTCCCAGGCCATGACAGAACAGTTGGCGGTTCTCTCTGGCGGGGCGGGTTTGTGAGTGAGGAAGCATGGAAGTGTCCTGGCCCAGCCCCTTCTGAAGGTCCCTCCCCTCCCCCGGTCTGAAATTATTGCCCACCCTGGTGTAGAGTGAAAACTTTCTCCCTTCCTTCAAGGGCTCGCTCAGGGCGAATGCAGCAGCATGGCCACCGCTGAGGCGGAGGGTGGAGCAAAGCGGGAGGACGACAGAGAGAGGGAAAGCGCAGGAGGCAGGGAAGGACAGGGAGCGCCAGGCTACAGAGCCTGAAGGACCCATCTAAGTGCAACAGTTTTTAATTAACTCTCCTGAAGTGTGACCCTTGGCTAATTGAGCAGGGGGCTTGGGCTCTGGGTTTGGTAAATCTTGTGTTGCTTGAGGGATACAGTCCCTCTGGGCCACTGCCTCACGGGGCGGGAGGACGGGGGGAGGGAGCCCGGGGGCAGATGAGAGAGGGGAGGGAGCCGGTTGGAAGGAATGAGACCGAGGGTGAGTGAGGCCAGCCACCCTGCTGCCCTCGTGCGCTGAATATGCCAGCACCTGGCTCGCACGTGTGGGCCTGGCGCCAGCCCAGTGACCTTGCTGCTGGTCCCTGCCCAAATCTTCCCTCCCCCGACATGCCCTGTTCAGTGATTTGGAATGTTCTGCCTGTTAGCTCGTTAGCCTGTTCACAGCCCCCCCTTCCCGGGGTGAGTGAGGCCAGCCACCCTGCTGCCCTCGTGCGCTGAATATGCCAGCACCTGGCTCGCACGTGTGGGCCTGGCGCCAGCCCAGTGACCTTGCTGCTGGTCCCTGCCCAAATCTTCCCTCCCCCGACATGCCCTGTTCAGTGATTTGGAATGTTCTGCCTGTTAGCTCGTTAGCCTGTTCACAGCCCCCCCTTCCCGGAAAATAATGCGGAGTAAGATCCTGGGGTGTCAGGTACATTTTGTGTGTCTCTAGGTCACCAGGGCCTGTCTGACTTTGCTACCCAGTGACCTTGCTGCTGGTCCCTGCCCAAATCTTCCCTCCCCCGACATGCCCTGTTCAGTGATTTGGAATGTTCTGCCTGTTAGCTCGTTAGCCTGTTCACAGCCCCCCCTTCCCGGAAAATAATGCGGAGTAAGATCCTGGGGTGTCAGGTACATTTTGTGTGTCTCTAGGTCACCAGGGCCTGTCTGACTTTGCTACCGTGCCTCTCGCTGGTTCCTGGTGTGGAAGGGAGGGGGGAAAGCTTGGGTGG